ATCGTACCAAAATTGAATTTATATATATGAATATATATAAATATTATGCATTGAGAATAAATTTTTGTACCAAAATTTACAAATCCTACCAAAATTGAATTTGAATATATGAATATACATAAATAGTGAGAATAAATTTTTTTACCTTCAATTATGGTGTTGAATGATACGAAGATAAATTACGAGGCTTTCCTTTTAGGCCTTCAATTGCAGGGAGTAAAAAGGAAGTTGGACTTACTGTTTTCCTTTCCTTTTAGGGCTTCGATTGCACACAGTAAAAAGGAACGATTGCACACAGTAAAAGGATTTCCTTTCCTTTTAGGGCTTCAGAGCTTCGCGGCCTCCCCTCCCCTTTCCTTTTAGGGCTTTAGAGCTTTGCACACACGACAGTACACAAGTTTATCTATATATATATATAACACAAAGGACAGGAGAAGGGGTGTTTTAGGGGGGAAATTTTTTTGATAAGAGCGTGTTGGTCACGCGCTACTACCTAAATGGCAGGTTAACGGGTTTGAACGGAAATTGGACAATGTAATAACGGTTTATAGTTGAGAGGGATATTTAATTTTAGTTGGGGCGTTTTGGACAAAAACGTTAGTACATGGGGTTATGTGATTTTTCTCCATATATATATATAAGACGACTTTTATAATATATATACTTAAAATATCTGTAACAGTTGCAAAGTATTACGGAGTATCTTTCAGCATTTTCTTTTCTTATTGTTTGTTATGTCCAAAGTAGGACCCCACTTAGGGGCGCGTGGGATGTGTGCCACACAAGATGCACGACACATTATATATTTTCCCCCTACTTTAATATGCATGCACAATTAAAATAGGCCACATGCTTAACTTTATTAGGGTCGGGCAAGAGTAGGAGAAATATATATATATACAGGGACGGACCCAGCAGGGGACTAGGGGGGGCATCTGCCCCCCCTGAATTTTTAATATTTTCATTTTATACTCTAATGTTTTTAAAATTTATGAAAATGCCCCCCCTAAAATTACAATTCGCCCCCACTGGATTCTTTTTTTTTAGCATTTTATACATCAAATTTTGATAATTTATGAAGATGCCCCCACTATAATTATAATTTGCCCCACTGATTTTTTTTTTTTTCATTTTATACTTAAATTTTTTTAAAATTTAAGAAAAAAAACCCTATTAAAATTACAAAAATGAACCCATCATATAATTTTGTATCCACAAATTAAAAATTCGCCCCCCCTCACCAAATTTTCTGGGTCTGTCACTGTGTGTATATATATATATATATTAACACACTTTTATGTGTTCATTTTTCTTATCGAATAATCTATATTGAAGTGTAACCACCGAATATTAGTGGTGTAGAACTATTTAATAAAATTTCCTTGCTTTGGCCAAACTTGAGCAAGTTAGGTTCTACTCCAAAGTTTTACGAGCATGAGCAAATTATTTGAGATCATGAGATTAAAACAGTGATTAAGTTAAAATTTTAAACCTTAAATTTGCTTTTGGCAAATTTTTTGAAATTTTTTTTACAAACCCGATCAATCCAAAATACAAGAAAAATATAGAGTCTGCTTTGTTTTTTTTATTCAATTGGACATATTTTTAGTATCTATCAATTGGACCAATAATGTGGTCCAGTGTCCTCCGGGTACCCTTATACGGGCCATCTAATAGGGCTCGTATACTTCTCAAGTAATGTGATTTCTCGTGCTTTAGATCCACATTATTGGCATTGGGATCCAATATTTATTATTTTTCCATTGGGCTCTTCTCTAATGGGCCTTACAAAATCAATTTCTTGAATTGTCTTTTTTGGTTTTGATATGTTTTTTTTTTTATATATATATTTTCTAAACAAAATATTTTCATGTTAAATATTTTTTTTCCTTGATTGGCAAGGTCCGTAAAATATTTTTTAAATCTATTTTTGTGCACAATTAACTATTTCTTTCTTCAGTGTTCACCACCAATACCCACAATGAACTCTTTCTATCTTTCTTTAGTGTTCCTCACACCCTCCCTCTCTCTCTCTCTGTGTACGTCAAATCATCCCTCTTTCTTCTTCTTGTCACTTTCTCTTTTCACTTTCTCTCTCTGAAACTTGCTATCGACTCAAATATGTTTCTCGATCAACTTAAATTTGTGTTCCCTCTTTCTCTCTACTCCCACTCTATGTATACATATAGAGAGAAGATTGAAAATTAGATTTTAGATTGGGATGACTGAAATATATTAATTGTTAGGAACATAAGAGTTTAATAAGAATATTAGATGGTTAAATGATCTAAGGTAACCTGTGTAACATGACTTATGAAAACTTTTTTATTACTTAAATCATTTACAGTCATTTGGGGTAAAATGATTTACATGGAAAATAATTTCCTAATTTTTTTGGTTTTGATTATTTATTTATTTATTTATTAAGGATCCATTTAGTTTGGACGTAAAATATTTTCTAAATAAAACCTTTTCATGTAAATTATTTTTTTTAATTTTTTTTTTCCAATATTTAATAAAAGCTCTTAAAATATTTTTAAAATCAGTTTTTGTGCGCAATTAATTATTAACTATTATTATTCCTCACCAACAAACCATCTATCTCCATGGTTAACTCTCCCTATCTTTCTTTAGTGTTCCTCACCCTCTGTCTGTCTCTCTCTCTCTACACGTCAAACCATCCCTTCCTCTTCTTCTTTATTTAACCATTTAATTTAATTAGGTTAAATATGTTATTAAACGGATAGTGTCGTGTTGTGCATTACCGTGAGAAGGGGCAACATCGAGATTATGTGCAGAGGTGATAGTACCATCTCCCTATCTCCCCGAATAGGTTCTTTGGAATTATTAGTGTTCATATCAATTATATATATATATATATATATATATATATATATATATATATAATTTTCGCCCCACTGCTGTAAATGAATGTGATAATATTCATTCTTGAATTCTTTCTGTTCATCTTGTTCCTTTTGTTGCTTAACAAAATCAGGGGTTGTAATCCTTAGTAGGATTTTTGCTGATTTGGGTTCTAACTATTTATTTATTTATTTCTGTGAAAAGAGAAGAATTTTATTAGTAGATGGTGTTTAAAGTTCACACCCAATTATTCTTGCCTTTTAGTTTCTACCCACATTCATCACCAACTGTTTGGCACTGAATAGTCATTTTCTCTTTGGTTTAGTTTCTACCCACATATATTCATCACCAACTGTTTGGCACTGAATAGTCATTTTCTCTTTGGTTAGAATATAGTCTTTGGTGTGTTCATGCCTATTAATTGTTATATATTCATACATTTTTAAAAAATTAAATCTTTATTCATTCTACTATGTTCCCTAATTTTCTTCTCTAATATGGATGCTAAATTTTTTTAACATTTCTGTGACCAAACTTAAACAAAATTGCTCTATAATAATTATAAAATAAAGAAAAGATGAATAGTCACCAAAATCAAAACTTAAAGTGCCTTTGGTTAGGGTTTTAACAATGACCACCACAACCGTCACCACTATAATGGAAAACAATGAGTAGTCAGTGAAGTTTCTGATCGATGTTAACACCTTCACGGATCTGCGATGTCAAATCTAATGAGGAATTTCATGGATTGAAGTGTGCTGAGTGCTGGCGAATGAGATAGACAATTGATTATAAATCAAAGAGAAAGGAAAAATACTCTTAACAATCGAATCAATAACCAATAAAAACACCTCTGGACAAATGATACAAAGGATTTGCAGTCCCATCCTACACACACTACTTTTCAATATATTATATGTGGTTACCTCTCCTTCACCGCCGGATATTTCATACTTTGTCAATATATTATATATGGTTACCTCTTCTCTAGCGCCGGACGATTTACAAGAAATCTCATAGAGAAGAGAGACATAGGATGTGTTGTTCTAAAGGGAGAGGGGATAGATTTGTCCAATTATAAAAATAATTCATTATAAGAAGAGCATTTTAGAGAATAAATCTCAAATGATCACTTATCTGCATTTAAGTTTTAAATTTGGCGACTATTCATTTTTCTGAAATGGTCACTTCAAAATAATTTTGTTTAGGCTCGGTCACTTAAACCTAATTTTCCCACATTTTTTTGTAACTTAATACTGAAGTTGATATATATATATCAGTAGTTACACCTCTTATTTGTTTAACATAGCAACTGAATTCCATTCGAGAAGGGATATGGATGATTTTATCTATATAGGTTATTTCTATGATTGTAACTAGCTCTTATGGTGGTGAATGGTTTTACTGTCATTTCCTTGTATGCTTCTATTATAGGTTATTTGTATGCTTCGTTATTGTAATTGCAACTTGGTCATTTTTTTTTTTTTACCTTAATTTTTGGTGATAAATGCTTAATACGTACTAATTATGCATTTGAAGTAGGATTGATATTGCTGCTTTACTTCTCTTCTGTTGTTGTAAAAACTGTCGTAATTATACTTATATCTGTACCATGATTTGTGGAGACTTGTCAACTATAAAGTATATAAAAATGTTCCTCAACTTGTTTTTATTCGACACTCTGGTATCCTAATTATGTTTTGTCCACATGGTTGGATCATACTCTTTGCATGGTTGGGGGATTTGAAGTTACTGAAGGTTTTTGCATAGTGAAAATGGCAGTGTTACAACCAGGCCACTAGCCCGGTTGGTATGATCTCTTCTTTCAAAAGGGGAAATTGAGGGTTCGAGTCCAGTTAGGGGGCATGTTGTGAAAAAAAAAAACATAAAAATGGCAGAGTTGAAACAATTGATCCTTAAATGATGATGATTTGTGTTTAGTGGTGGTGCATTGGAGTAACTGGTATCCTTTTTAGAGAACATGAACCCTTTTGAAATGGCCATTTCAAATAACTTTCTCAGTTATCTTCTTCATCATCGTTTTCTACATAATACGTAACTTAAGTCGAAAGCTAACTTTTTCAAGGAAGCAAACATCTATTGTTTTTGCTTTCAAGTTGGTGATTTGGCTTTGCTCATGGAGGTTGGAGTTGATGGCTTAGTTAATTATGAATTGGTAAAGGCAAAAAGGAGGGGGGAATAAAAACGCGTATGATAAATGTTTTTCCTTTGTAAATTTTTTTTTTTTATTTTTTTTTTTTTTTTCTGGAAAGTTTGTGCTGCTCCAACTTGTCATGAGCTGAGGACACGTATTTACATATATAATCATATAATTATATGTATGCATATTTGTTGTCACAAGAGTGATGTTTTGATAGAATAACAGCAGTAATGCTTGTATACAAACACTTCATGCAGTCACAGTTTCAGCAATATATATGGATTGTTACGGGCTTATGATAAGGATACTAGCTGTAATTCTTATATATAGATTGTTACAACCGATATCTCACCCGTTCATATTTGACCTGATCCAAACCTGACTCAACCCTCCTGTTTACCGGGCTTATATTCAAACAACCATGTTTATGGAGTTCCAATTTGAGTCATCTCTGTTTTTTGAGTCATGTCTGTTTGCTGAGCCTGAGATTGAGTTTGACTTCTTTTCTTACTATGCTTTATCTCGCCATAGAAGTAAGAAACAAATCCCCAAAGAGAGAGGACAAGAGTGACCCCTTTTTCGGCCTTAAACTTTTCGTGGTAGAATACAACAGCTAAGGTCTCTATCACTGGGAGTAGAACAGCCATTAGAATTCCAGAAAACAAAGATGAAGCGCAGAAGATGACTCCATTTGCTCCCAAGAAGAAACCCTGCCAAAATAAGGCACTGAATACCAGTACCACATAATACTTTGCTTCACCGAGTTCATACTCTCTTGCTTCCCTTGGAATTACCTACAAAGTACGATTACAGGTATGCCTCATTCAATAGAACTTGTGAAAACCTTTCTTTGATGTTCCTTTTTTTTTTTTTTTATCCTTTGGGAAATGATACTTAAGCCCATGAGTTAGACTTAAAACACTAGCCGAAACCTTATTTGTTTTTAGGTATGTTTCAAGTAGACCCATGACTATTATTTAAGACATATCTAACGGATTAGAAGTCCGTGTTTTAGGTCTAACTTAGTAGCCATAGTAGCATTGTTCTTTTCATTTTCGTTTCTTTGTTCTTTGTTTATGCTTTTGTCCATTGAGTAATGATAGGTAGGCTGACGAGTTCCACCCGAACTATTGGATCCCGTTTTAAATGCTTCATTTTCTTTTAACTAACTTTTGAATTTCAAATGCCCTAAAGTAGCTTTTAGGACTTGTTCTCCCACCCCTAACCCAAAAACAAATAAACAAAAACGAAAAAAATAATAATAATAAAAAGGGTTTCCTTTAGGCCAGCTCAAGTATTTGAAAATTTTAAAAATATATATATAGACATTGGGCTCGTAACGACTTCGAATATAAATCGGTTAGAGTAAAGGAAAATCATTTAGAGTCCAACAATTGGACGGCATGTTTTGACGTGAGTGGGGATGAGGTTAATGGTGGAGCTCATGTCATCCCCACTAATGTCAAACAGTCGGACAAGGTAAATATTTGTATAGCCATGTATAGATAGAGAGAGAGAGAGAGAGTATATACCTTGAAGTCATTGTTAAACAGCATGCCTACTGTGCAGAAAGCAGTAGCAAAAAAACACATGACCATCTGAATCTCCATCACCAGTGTGTAGCTAATTGCCTGCTTTGCCTTCTTGTATGTCAGCTCCACCAGCGGTAGGATGAAACCGTACAGCACCGCAGCTAAAAGCGTCATGAAAAACCCCAGATAATACTCCTTATTGGACTCACCATTCGGACGGTCACTGCTTGTGTGGAGGGCCAAAACTCCAGCTCCAACACTCAGCAAAACTACTGCGTTTATCGAGTATGACGTAAACTTTTGCTTAACAAGAAGATAGGCAAAGCCTGCTGTGAAGACCAGCTGGGTAGAACCGATTAGAGTTGATGTTGAAACAGGCAGGCGCGCCACACCGTAGGCGTATAAGTAGTCGTCAGCTCCCGTGAGGATGCCTATGACAGCAGAGGCTATGAACAAGCGAGGTTTCATGAAAAAGAGCTTGGTGGAGGTGGAGGCTGAGCCATCCTTGGCGCGGCGGTGGATGTAGTTGATGATGATGGGGATGAACATGATAGGCCAACCGCCGGTCTCTAGCCAGCTCGATAGCCATACTCTTTTGCCGCCTTTGGTGAAGTAGAGGCGCATGATCAATGGACCGCCACATTTGCCGATGGTGAGGAGGATGCAATTCAGGAGCAGGAGGGCCTTCTTCATGCTAGTTCTAGTATGAGCCTCCATGTTGAGAAATTAGTAGCTCTCTCTCTCTCAAACACGACTTTGCTGGCGTATTCTGTGTTAAGTGTTCTCTTTTTCTTGTTTCTCTCTTTGGTAATTGGTGGAACTGTCCATAGAGCGGACCTAGTCAGTTGTCACCCAGCCCAAGCCCACTGTTGGACCTAGTGATATCTCCTCTAGTATATGGTGTTCGAATCGCAGGAGCAGTGTATTAGTAAATTGTGTATTTTATTCAAAAAAAAAATAAATTAAAAAATAAATAAAATTTAAAAAATGCAAATATTAAGGCCCGTTTGGCATGCGATATGTTTTAGGCGTTATGTTTTTGGTCAAAATGTTTTGGGTAGAAATCAGAACCATATTTGATGAAAAATTCAAAATTTTGTTAGGATCTTTTAGCTCCTATTTTAAGATAGTAGCTTGGATCCTATGATGTGGTGCAATATCGCATAAAACGGATTTTAGTTCACATTATGATAGGTGTAACTTTTATAATATATATAACACTAGTTGTTCTAGTACACTTAAAGTGTGCCTTTTTGGTTATATATAGGAATCAGATTTCCTTGGTTCTGTGCTGTGTGTAGATGGCTTATGCAACGGATACATAAAAAATTATATTTTTATTGTATAAATGATATAAAATTATTGCATAAACAATTTTAGTTGTTATATAAGCTATCTAATGATACTGGACGCGCCACGGTTCATAGAGAAGCTGATGGCATATACCAGAGCGTGATGCAAGTGAGAGTCAGACTGAGTGACAGAGATATTGATGGAGGCACTACTCATCGTGGTTTGATTTTAAGCATATGGGAGTGATAAATATGTCACTCCATTGTAAATGAGGGACAGTGATTTGAAGTGAATAGTAAGTGCAATGAATATTTTTCACTAATGACAAGTCATGATTGTAATTTGTTGGATAATGTGAATTTCGGCATGCCTAGATTTTATTGCTCAATTTTAATTAGAGTCATGGTACCGCTATCTCGTCTCTAACCGACATGAAACTGTCATATATGTTCGACTTTTGAGAAAATGTTAACAACATATCCTTGATTAAGATTAATAATTACATTGTACTTAGTAGAGTTTTGCTAGATGTTGAGTAAATATATTCTGAAAGTGTCAATTGTCGATCAAAATTTGATACTGTAAGGTTGTAATAAGACAGCTGAAACAAAGTTGACCTAACAAAGTGGCAAAGTCATGTTTCACGAATTTGATTCCTTCTTCCCCATGTAATTGTGACTCAGATCATCCATTTAGAATAATGAGTTGGATGTTTTATTATTCGCTTTCTTGAATCAATCTTTGACCAAGAGTATTAAACATGAAAAAAAAAAAAAATAAATAAATACCATTGTAACTGCACTTATAAACCAAAGAAAAACTAAGTTTCAAAAACAATTAAAAGAGTAAGAATGGCATGTAAACTAATATATACTTCTTTTTTTCTCTCTCTATAGCATGATTCGTAGTTGCAGTCGCTGTGTAACAGATTCGAGCGAATATCGATATAAACCAGCCGGTTCATAAATGTATGTAACAATATCGGATCATTGAAAAAAAGTTACGAAGCGAACGATACATAATTAAATTTTAGTTTACGTTGGTATAATGGTAGAAAGAATGATATTAACTTGATAAATGATTGTTTGTCTTTATGGCACTCGAAGCTTCATCCTTTATTTTGATAAGTAAAAGAGATACGACTAACCTATAATTTTTTTACTGATCTTCGTAAATAAATGATGCGGTGCTCGTGTTGGATCCCTACGCGAGAATATTGTCATGTTTGGAGGAGTGCATTTGGTTAAATAATAAAAAGCACGTGAATATTGGCTTTAATAGTTAAAATTTTATTAAGAAAACTAATATTTATGTGCTAAGGTTTGTGTCAATTGATGCCTGAAATGTAGACAAACTAGCCACCATCCTTAAAATTTGGAACGTTCCATATATAAATATCAGTTCTTGTCCTTGTCGATTTTCTCCTTGCTTTTCTAATAAATTCTTTTGGGATGTAGAGATATTATTATATGGTTCTCAGATCATCCATTTCTGTTAATTACTAGATAACATACGAGTATAAAGTTGAGTAAAATTGACACAAATTTTATGCATTTACTTATGTATCATATATCTAGTGATTGACCCAAGACCATATAAATACTTTTCTCTTTGATGTAGTTTTCAAGCACGGAGCCCAAAATGAGTTCCTATTGAAAATATGCGCAATAGGCTTTGAACTCTGTTATGCATCAAAACAGCATAGTCTTGGGGGCAGAGGACCCCTTCAAACAGAAGGAATCTTGTTAGGGGTGCACATGTTTCGGTTTGGTACGGTTTTTGGCGGAATTGGAGTCAAAACCGTTGGAACCGGAATCGAACCAAACCGGTTCTACGGTTCCAGTTCCGGTTCTCCTTTTATTTTTTATTTTTAACAATACATCGGGTCACAACAAGTATCAATAGACATATTAAGAAATTCATTTCATACCACTATAATTAAAAATGTAAACGAAAGCCGTATAAAGAAAGACCAGAAGTCACCACCCATCGTATTTGCATGTTGCTTTTATACCTACCAAATACAGAGTATTATTAAAGATCAACAGTTATGTACTGCATGTCACTTTTCTACCTATGATTCCTTCATATGTAGGGGTGGCAAACGGGCGGGTTGTGTCGGGTTTGGGTATGGTGACCTATATTCAACTCGTTTGTAATGGGTTGGGTCAAAATGGGCCGGATCAATCCGTCATGGCTCACCAATTCATTTTAGGAAAAAGAAATGTTATTATTTTGGATAATCTCATTATTATAGTTTTTTTTTTTAAGATGGATGAGAGCTTGTAAAAATATGTATCCATAATTGTAAATCTTCCAATTTATTTTGAAAATTCTTTAAATTTATATTATTTTATTTTATGACTAGACATGCACGAAGGTAAGAGATATAATACACACGAATACATTGCATATGTGTTGTAGATGTAGCACAACAATACTATAGTAATATAAAGAATTTTACGGAGAGAAAGAGGATGATGAGAGAAAATTTTAGAGAGTGTGGGAGAGAGAGAATGTGGGATCGTGTGAGAGAATTTCAGAAAGAAAGAAAAGGTAAATTTGAGTCAAATAGATGATGTAAAACTGTTTCTCTTATATAGTGAGTGAAATATGGGTCAAAATAGGTGACCCATATTTAACCTATTTAACCCTCTATAAAAATGGATTGAATATGAGTCACTCATTTTGATCCGTATTTTAAAATGTTTCACCCATATCCATTTTTAAACTGGCGAATATGAACGAGTTGGTGGGTCATGACCCATTTTGCCACCCCTATCATATGTAACAAAAATGGAACAAGATAATTTATTTATATATATATTTCTTGGGGACCAAAGAGTAATAATGATTGCAAAAATTAAAAATTCAATTTAACATTATAAAAAGAATGGATTACTACATGTATATTCCTTCTTGCGTGTGAGTGCGTTCATGATGGAGCCCCGTCCTATTAAATTTTTTTAATGTTATTATTATTATTATTATTATTATAATTTATTTTTTATTTTTATTTATTTATTTTTTTTACACCAGTGCATATAATTTATATAATTTTAGTAACAAAGTTAAGAAGAAAGTTATTAATGAAATACATAACAATTTTTTTTTTTTTTTTTTTTTTTGGTACTCACACACATATATCTCTATCGAGACTTAAATTACTGACATTTCTTTAAAAAGTAGGAGTCTTAGTACCGCTAGGTTACTGACATGTTGATAAATACATAACAAACTTGATCACATTTGCTTTAAAATTTTACATGCATAGTAATATTCATCATTTTATATTGGTAGAATTTACCATCATGGTGATAAAATTTTATAATTAAAGTGACAAAATTTGAAATATAAAAGAGTAATGCTCAAAAAATTATGACAAGTGTCATAAGTTTGATCTCTACATTATAAATTATGTCGTTTTGACATATAAAAGACAGACTTGGACTCTCTAAGTTAAATATTCTCTTAGTTATACTAAGTTGAATTTCCCATAAATTGACACGTGACATTTAAAATTTATTTACTGCTGTTGTTAAATCACATCAACTAATTTAAAGAAAGTTTGAAAACTGCAGCGTTTTGAGATAAAGAAAAATTTACCAAAATTAAAAAACTATACCGTTTTGATTCTAACGATGTTTAAAGTTATTATCCCTCCCTCATCTTTTCCAAAAATATATATATATATCCTCCCTCTCTCTCCTCTTTATTCATATCTTAAACAAGTCGCGATAGTATTGTTTGTCTTTTAACCTCATCATCTTTTCTATATATAGGGTTTTTTTTGTTGTCTTTTCCTAACTCCATCAATATACTCGAACATCATTCCTACAAGAAAAATCCCAAACACACTACCAACTAAGCTATTATACACTTGTGAAATAATATAGTTTTAAAATAAATATACCCTTTTCGGGCTCGGGCTAAGCTTCGGGCTTTATATAATATGAACCTAAACCCAATCCGAATTTAATTCGGCCTCAGAATATCTAGCCCAAGCTCAGACCTAAAACAGAAAAACACTGCCCAAGCCCTGAAAATTTCGGGCTGGGCTCGGGTAAATTCGGGCTGCCCAGCCCGAGTTGCAGCCCTACTAAATATTCCACTCCCTAGTCGTAAGAGAGAGATTTTTTTTTTTTTTTGAATATTTGGGTTAATTATGATAATTTTTTCTATTATTTAGTATTTGATTAAATATTAAATGTCTCATCTTGATAAACAGGTCATTAAACATGTTAACACGTTTACCTGTTTAATAAACGGATTAGGTTAGTGTTGAGAATTTTGACATGATTATTAAATAGGTTAGGTTTAAATTTACCTATTTAGTATACTGCTCTTACATCAACATAATACAAATACAACTCACAAAAGCCAATTGCCACTCCTAATCTCAACCATTACGA